TTCACCAGCCGATGATGGAGGGAGCGTCTCAGGGCCCTTTTTAATAGGGAGGAATACTTTGGAATGTCTCCAAACACTGAAAGAGGAGTCTCGTTTAAAGGAAGGACCATTCAAACCTATAAACTTTCAATAATATGGTTTGAGCTGGAGTGTTACATGCCCCAAGAGCAAATGATATTTGCAAAACCCGTTTTATTTTAGGCAAGCCGGTTTATTAATTGTGAATGAAGAAAATGATCAACACATAAAGGATTTCTGGTTTAAAAACTACCTGGATCCCTTGCATTGGGCCAGAAAGCTTCAGTTCTCTTTTTTTGCAAACGTTAATAAAACTGGGTTGTTGTAGGTTTTTTCGGGCTATATGGCCATGTTCTAAAGCAGGGGTCCTCAAACTAAGGCCCGGGGGGCGGATGCGGCCCTCCAAGGTCCTATCTCATCAGCCAAAAGCAGGCCCACACTTCCCATTGAAATACTAATATTTATATTTGTTAAAATTGTTATTCATTTAAATTATTGTGTTGTTTTTAAGTGTATTTTGCACCACAAATAAGATATGTGCAATGTGCATAGGAATTCATTCCTTTTTTTTACAAATTATTATTATTATTATTATTATTATTACTTTATTTGTACCCCGCTAACATCTCCCGAAGGAAGGCCTTCAATAAAACAACAGTATAACAAATGCAACAATAAAACTCATAAAGCAAACCAATAAACATTAAAGCAATAACAGTATAACATTAAAACAATACATCATGACACATTTAAAACTAGGGCCAGGCCAAATGTAATGACTAAAATTAAAAGTGCTGGACATGACAGGTGAAATGTAAGGATTTTAGGGTAGGTGCGATGTGCAGGCAATCTTAAATCTCTAGTAAAGTGTGTTTGGGACATGATGCTGGGAGTTTCCTATTCTGGAAAGGCACACTGGAACAGCCAGGTCTTCAAGCTCTTCCTAAAGACTGCCAACGTTGGGGCTTGTCTGATGTCCTTGGGGAGAGAGTTCCAGAGTCGGGGGGGGGGGGCCACAGAGAAGGCCCTGTCCCTCGTCCCCACCAAACGCGCTTGCGACGCAGGTGGGATCGTGAGCAGGGCCTCTCCAGATGAACGGAGGATCGTGTGGGTTCATATACAGAGATGCGGTCACGCAGGTAGGCGGGTCCCAAACTGTTTAGGGCTTTGTAGGTAATCACCTGCACCTTGAATTGGGACCGGAAAATAAATGGCAGCCAATGGAGCTCCTTAAACAGGAGGGTTGACCTCTCTCTGTAAGGAACACCAGTTAACAACCTGGCCGCTGCCCGTTGGACCAGTTGAAATTTCCGAGCCGTTTTCAAGGGCAGCCCCACATAGAGCGCATTACAGTAGTCCAATCTAGAGGTGACCAAGCCATGGACCACCCCGGCCAAATTATAATTCGGCCTCTGTTTAAAAAGTTTGAGGACCCCTGTTCTAAAGGCATTCTCTCCTGACGTTTCGCCTGCATCTATGGCAGCGTTTCTCAACCTGGGGGTCGCGACCCCTAGAGGGGTCGCCGGGCCATTTCAGAGGGGTCGCGGCCCCATGTCCATTGGCCCCGCCCCCTCCACCAGGCTGCGCAGTGCTGCCTCGGTCGCCTGGCTGTGGCCAGCTTTCGCCGCTTGCCAGGCCCGACGGGCGGCGCGAACCAGGCAAGGGGCTTCCCACCAGGCCAGGCCAGGCTGTGCTGCCTCCCTCACCTGGGTTGTGCCGCCTGCCGGGTCTGTCAAGCGGCAAAAGCCAGGCGAGGAAAGCAGCACCGCGTGGCTTAGCCTTGCGGGTATCCCTTCGCCTGGCTTGCGAGGCCCGATGGGCGACGCGAGCCAGGGGAGGGGCTTCCCGGCAGGCCAGGCCACGCGGTGCTGCTTTCCTCGCCTGGCTTTTGCCGCTTGACAGACCCGACGGGCAGGTTGAGTCAGGCGAGGGAGAAGAAAGGAAGGAAAGGGAGGGAAAAGGAAGGGAAGAAAGAAGGAGAGAAGGAAAGAAAGAGACAATGATGGAAAGAAAGAGAGAGAAGGGAGGAAGGGAGAAGGAAAGGGGAGGGGAAAAAGGAAAGGGCTGGCAGGTAGTTGGAGGCGCACCCGTCTCTTCGCCACGCTCCTAGTCTTTGGCCACTCTCCTCTTGCTGCTCCTGTTGCCCCCAGGTGGGAAACCAGCAGCAGCAGCAGCCATGCCAGCAGCAGGGCCAAAGGGCAGCAAGAGGAGAGCAGCCGGAGACTAGGAGCGTAGAGAAGAGAGACAGGTGCTCCTCCCGCTGCCATCCAGCTCTGCAGCCCCAGGTGCTTTCCTTCCTCGCTCTTTCTTTTTTCCTTCTCTTTATTTCTTTCCTTCTTTTTCCCAATCTTTTCCATTTCCTTCCTTCTGCCGTAATCCCTTCCTTCCTTTCATCTTTCCCTTCCCTCCCTCCCTCGTTCTTTATTTTCCTCTGCTCTTGGCCCCTCCCTCCCTCCATTCAGATCCAGCTCCACCCCTCATCCTCGCCCTTCGCAGCCACCGGGGGAGAGAACGGTAGCGGCAGGGCCAAGGGGCCATGGATGAAGGAATCTCATCCCTCTGCCTCCATGCGCCTCTCGAGTGCACCAGTATTCCAATTCCAGGATATCAGGTTTTTGTGCCAAATTTGATAAAGATCCATCATTGTTTGAGTTCACAGTGCTCTGTGGATGTAGGCAAACTATAACTCCAAAGGCCCAATGCCCTTCCATTGACTATTATTATTATTATTATTATTATTATTATTATTGCTCCTGCAGTAATTCTATCTTCCTGTGTGGCAGAAAGAAGAGGCTGGACTACATGACCTTTGGGGTTTCCTTTCAATTGTATGAGTCTTATAATACTACATAATAATAACAATACACTAATTCTATATTCCTGCCTGGTATAAAGGAGGGCGCTGGACTAGATGGCCTTTGGGGGTCCCTTCCAACTGAGAATAATAATAATAATAGTAATGTATAATAATAAAATAGTAACTCTTATTTTCCTGCCTGGCATAAAAGAGGGGCTGGAGTAGATGACCTTTGGGGTCCCTTCCAACTGAGAATAATAATAATAATAATAATAATAATAATAATAATAATAATAATGTAGAATAATAAAATAGTAACTCTTATTTTCCTGCCTGGCATAAAAGAGGGGGCTGGACTAGATGACCTTTGGGGTCCCTTCCAACTGAGTCTAATAATAATAATAATAATAATAATAATAATAATAATAATAATAAAATAGTAACTCTACAACTCCCAAATGTCAAGGTCTATTTTCCCTAAACTCCACCAGTGTTCACATTTGGGCATAATGAGTGCTTGTGCCAAGTTTGGTCCAGATCCATGGTTGTTTGGGTTCACATTTGCTCTCCAGATGTAGGTGAACTATATCTCTCCTAAATCACTGCCAACCCCCTCCAGTATTTTTTTTGTTGGTTATGGGGGTTCTGTGTGCCAAGTTTTGTCCAGGTCTTTCATTCGTTGGGAGTCTCAGTTGTCTGTGGAAGTCAGAACTGAATCTGTTGAAGGTACTGCAAAGCCCATCATCCATTGTCCATACTCCTCCAAACATGTTTTGGTGATTAATCTCTATGCTTTAATTATGTTCAATTTGTAATGATGAAAATACATCCTGCATATCAGATATTTACATAATGATTCATAACAGTAGCAAAATTACAGTTATGAAGTAGCAATGGAAATAATTTTATGGTGGGGGGGGGTCACCACAATGTGAGGAACTTTATTTAGGGGTCACGGCATTAGAAAGGTTGAGAACCACTGATCTATGGCAAGCATTCTCAGAGGGAGTGAGATCTGTTGGAACTAGGAAAGTGGGTTTATATATCTGTGGAATGACCAGGGTGGGACAAAGAACTCTTGTCTGCTGGAGCTAGGTGTGAATGTTTCAACTGACCACCTTGATTAGCATTTGATGGCCTGGCAGTGCCTGGGGCAATCTTTTGTTGAGAGGTAATTAGATGTCATTCCACAGATATATAAAACCATTTTCCTATTTCCAACAGACCTCACTACCTCTGAGGATGCTTGCCATAGATGCAGGCGAAACGTCAGGAGAGAAAGCCTCTAGAACATGGCCATATAGCCCGAAAAAACCTACATACAACTCCCAGAAATCCCAGCCAGTTTAGCAGCTGGCAGGGATTTCTGGGAATTGTAGGCCAAAAACATCTGGGGACCCCAGGTTGAGAACCACTGCTCTAGAACATGGCCATATAGCCCGAAAAAACCTACAACAACCCAGTATTCCGGCCATGAAAGCCATTGACGATATGTTAATAAAACTGCAAAAAAGGAGGGAAACAGAAGCTTCTAAACAAAAGATGCTGAAAAGTGCCAGCTGTAAGGAATTTTTTTTGCTCACCTTCATCTTAAGCATAATCTGTCCATCTATATTTAAGTAATATTCCATTAACTGGAATGGAGAACAGAAGCTGAATAGGATAATGTTGTTTGGATGGAAAGTGTTATTTATATGATCATTCCTGTGGTTAGAAATGACTTGGCTGCACTGGAATGCCTTGGAAAAAGGCAAAGTTTCCTTGAACAATTTGCAAGAATGCAGGGACATGAGAGAAGCCTCCCATAGGTTGGTAAAACATCTGGGCGTCCCCTGGGCAAAGTCCTCACAGACGGCCAATTATCTCACACCAGAAGCAACTTGCTCCTGATGCAAAAAAACAAACAAAAAACAAAAACAAAAAACATTTAAAAGGTAAAAAGACTACTGCTTAGGGGACAAACTCCCCAAGCACACACAGATGGGACTAGTAATGCTGGTCAGTGGTCACTTGGAAGTGAAGTTTGGGACTTTAGCCTTTTTTGATGACACAGCTCCAGAACTTTCATCACAGGATGGTTGTAAAGAGTGGATAAATAGAATGGTCTTTGAATTGTTTGAACTTTCACATGAAACCTGTTCTTTTGTTTACATTACTGAAATAATACATGATTTATCTTAACTAGTGGTGCAAAATATGGCTTGCTGGCATATACGTCGTTGGGACTGGAGGATATTGAGGACAGTTTCAAGACCCACAGCCTCACTGTTGTGGCCAATGGTAAGATTGTATTTAATAAGGGAAGTGAACTATGGGCAGAATACTTTAACTTGGTTTTGTAGTAATCAGAAATTGGTGTTATTTTTAATTTTTTTATCAAGTACGTAATAACACAATCTGAATAGGTAATAGACAGCTATTCTATTCACACATTATATATAACGGAGCATTCTATTCATCTCTTTTACAAAGTTATTTTTTTCACTTTTCCCTCACCCCATACCCCTAGAACATTTTTCTCTATATATCTCTATATATCTTTAACAATGAACACAATTTTCATAGTTTTGTACAATATTTGTGTTGACTTTCTATCAATTTCACGTAGATTTATCTTTAATTTCTTCTGTCTTGTCCTTTGCACATCTTCTCGAGTTATGCGTGCTTTAATGTCCGATTTGACTTGAGCAAACAGATAATTATTCCAGTTTTCAATATTCATTTTTTCATATTTCAATCCCCATGCTATCACTGCCTTGCCTGCTAAAATCATTGCTCTAAATATTGGGGGTTTTTTTGCGCTAATCTTATTGTTCCCAAGTATTCCCATTAAAATAAAGTCCATATTTACTTGAACTGGCGGTTTAAATAATTTCTCAATTTTCTTTATTATATTTTCCCCTAGAAATGTATTATCTTGGGCATTTTCACCACATGTGGGTATCCTACCCTTTATTTGCTCCACAATGCCAACATGTTGAGCTTATTCCCGTATTTGGTAATTGGGGTGATGTTCTATACTATTTCCAAATAAATTATCAAAAAATTGATTTTTTTTCTTGCTGCATTTTGTAATAATCTGTGCATAGTGGATAAGAAGGAAACTTTGTTTCTGCTACTTACCAACCTTTGGAAGTAGAGAACTTGTGCTTAGGGTGATAGAGCATCATTCTTCCCTTACTTCCCCTTTTCTGGCTGCTGTTTTATATTTTCAGACACCTCCATCCTGTTTGAAAAAGTCTTGCTTTGTTCATTAGACTGTATTCTCAAGTACTGTATATACTCGAGTATAAGCCTAATTTTTCAGCCCTTTTTTTAGGCTGAAAAGGTCCTCCTCGGCTTATACTTGAGTCAAGATTATTTATTATTTTACTCTGTTGGTGTTGTTGTTGTTCTTCTTCTTCTTATTATTATTATTATTATTATTGCATTTCTCATTTTACTCTATTATTATTATTATTATTATTATTATTATTATTATTCTCTTTATTATTATCGGAAGGATATGTAAGCACATTTACATTGAAGGTTAGAATAATGGTTTAATCAGAGCTGGACAGTCTTATCTTAAATTACAGTTTTATGTAAATATTCAAAAACATTTAACCTACTGATAATAATAATAATAACAACAATAATAATAATAATAACAATAATAATAATAATAATAATAATAATAATAATAATAATAACAACAACTTTATTTGTATCCCACTATCATCTCCCCAAGGGACTTGGTGCGACTTACAAGAGGCTAAGCCCACAGCACATCAATAAACAAAGGCAATAACAAATAATCAATACAAAGCAGTTAAAATAAAATAAAACTTAAAAAACACAATAAGCAATAAACTATCAATAACAATAACATACAGCATTTAAAAACCAATGGCCTCAATTAATGTAATTTTATTGGTATCTATTTTTATTTTGAAATTGAACCATAGCTGCTGCATTTCCCACCCTCGGTTTATACTCAAGTCAATCCGTTTTCCCAGTTTTTTGTGGTAAAATTAGGTGCCTCGGCTAATATTCGGGTCAGCTTATACTCGAGTATATACGGTAATTGTGTAAAGGGTTCCAGCATAGGCAAGGAAAGTGAGCTTTAGTAGATGTAAGTTACGGCAGCAGAATGATAACAATACTATTAAGAAAAGGAGGAATAACTCTCAGTATTGTTTATATGAAGAGTTAATAATATTTCTGAATCTGATGGGGCATGTTGACATGATCGCTTTAACGTATGGCAATTCCAGTTATGTAAACGGGATTACATTACCATAGAAACCCTTAAGACCATTGTATTCTGGATCAGAATCTGAGAGCAATTGTAGAGGTACATGACCTCATCCTGGATTTCTTAGAACAGTACTGTTCTAGTCTACTGTGCAAGGTTAGAACAGTACTGTCCTGAGAACTCTAAGTACATTTCAGGCTATACAATATACTTTTTTTCCTTTAGGTTTTTTTGCTTTTACATTTAGAGAGCTACAAAAACCAGTAATTCACCAAAGATAGAGAACAAAGCAGTCATGATATCTGTAGAACAGGGACAGCAAATGTATATAGCCTTCTAACACCAGACAAACTTCCAAAGAAAAACCTTGCAGATTGTTGAGTGATTTCATCACCCAAAGTTGGTTGTTTTGCTTGCTTGCTTGCATTCTGCAAGTCACTTCTAGTCACTTCTGGAGTGAGAGAATCAGCCATCTACGAAGACGTTGCCCAGGGGGCTCCCGGATGTCTTGCAATCCTGTGAGGAGTCTTCTCTCGTGCCCCCCCCCCCCACACACACACACAGACATGTGCTTTTCACCTTAAGAACAGACAAGCATCCCAAGCTCTGAGGATGACCTGGGGAAGGAATCCCACTGGAGCACTGCAGCACATCCAAATACCTGGGAGTCACTCTGGACCGTGCTCTTACCTGCAAGAAGCACTGCCTGAACATCAAGCAAAAAGTGGGTTCTAGAAACAATATCATACGAAAGCTTACTGGCACAACCTGGGGATCACAACCAGACACAGTGAAGACATCTGCCCTTGCACAATGCTACTTTGCTGCTGAGTATGCATGCCCAGTGTGGAATACATCTCACCGCACTAAAACAGTGGATGTGACTCTTAATGAGACATGCCGCATTATCATGGGGTGTCTGCACCCTACACCACTGGAGAAATTACACTGTTTAGCCGGTATTGCACCACCTGACATCCATCAGGAAGTAGCAGCCAATAGTGAAAGGACCAAGGCAGAGACATCTCCAGCTCATCCCTTGTTTGGGTATCAGCCAGCACGTCAACAACTTAAATCAAGAAATAGTTTTCTAAGATATACAGAGACACTCACTGGAACACCTCAGCAAGCGAGAGTCCAAACGTGACAGGCTCAAACCCAGAACCTCAATCAATGGTTGATACCAAATGAGAGACTCCCCCCTGGGCGCACAGGAAACTGGGCGACTTGGAAGATGCTGAACAGACAGCGCTCTGGCACTACGAGATGCAGAGCCAACCTTAAGAAATGGGGCTACAAAGTGGAATCCAGACGTGCGAGTGTGAAGAAGAGCAAATCACTGACCAACTGCTGCAATGCAACCTGAGCCCTGCTACATGCACAATGGAGGACCTTCTTGCGGCAACACCAGAGGCACTCCAAGTGGCCAGATACTGGTCAAAGGACATTTAATCAACTACCAAGCTTGCAAACTTTGTGCTTTGTCTGTCTGTCTGTCTGTGTTTTTGTTTTTTTGTTTTGTTAAAAATGTAATGCAACTGTCTGATTGCTCCTGACACGATAAATAAATCACCCAAAGTCATTAAAATAGCTCCAGATGTAGTTTGCACCAGCACCCCAACCTTCCAAATTCCCACTCCAAAAAAAAGAAGAGGTACATTTTAGAAGTGTAACTCTAGCCTAATATATAGCACAGGTAAGGGTTAACACCCCTGTGGTGTTTATTTTACTGTCTGCCCCTGTTCACTTCACTTCACTTCACTTTATTTCTTAATTAGTCGCTCTCCACCAAGGTGCTTCGAGCGACTTACAATCTAAAATAGCATTTACACAATATAAAAACATTCAACATAAAAACATTCAACAGTGACTATTTGGCAAATTAAATCTGATTACTTTAATGCACAACCAAACAGAAGATTTCACCTCACTTCATGTTCCTATGATAATTGGATTTTGAAAAAATTGTCTTGTTGTGGAAACAAAGATTGGCAAGAAGGCTTCAGTGGACACACCTTTTTCCCATGATAATAACTCTTCCAGGAGTGAATTTTCCTTTCTGGGGGTAGGTTTCTCTCACTTCATGCTGTCTCCCCTCCGTTCTTTACTATGAGTCGTTTGTAAGTCGGATACTTGTAACCTAGGGACTGTCTATAATGGTAAAATCCCAAGACGACCTCTGACCACAAATCATTCAAAATGATGTAAGATCAGTTCCCAGAAATGATGCAAGGTCACTTCCCATCAACCTAAATATGGTACTGTGGCCCTTGAGGGGGAATCATGGTGGTAAAAATTAGCTCAATCTAGTGTTATAGTTGCTGACCCACAGACCATGCAGAACATGTGAGAATCAAATGAGGTACCAAATTGAGGATAGATTTGGAGTTGCCTTTTTTGTCATTTCTTCGGATGCACTTGGCATGGGAATGTCTGAAAAGATTAAGCAGGCAATTAACCATGCCAAAAGAGTAAAAATTCCTGTAATCAATCTAAATGTCTTCATTGTCCAAAGCATGGTGCTTAAGGAGTCTATAGGGTTTCTGGCTTCCTTCCTGTTATCCTGCAGTGGGAATCTCTCACCAGGCAGCAAATTCACAAGTTGAACAAAATTATTTGTCACAGTCCTAACAACTCAATACTCTCCTACCAAATTGCCCTGTTTTTTTATTTTATTTTAGAGGACTCGTCCTTTTGGCTTCCGTTGTATGGCAACATGTGCTGTCGTTTAGTTGGCCAGCCATTCTGCATGACTGATGATATGATGACTGGATTTCTTAATCAACAGGTGAGGTTTTTTTCTTCCAAAAAGAGACTTAAGATTTATTAATTGATGTTGGGCTCCTTCTAGACTGCCATATAATCCACATTATCAAATCTTATAATCCATATGATCTGCTGTGAACTAGATTATATGAGTCTACACTTCCATATAATCCAGTTCAAAGTAGATAATCTGGATTTTATATGGCAGTTTAGAAGGGGCCTAAGTCGATATCCGTGATACTGTTTTGACTTTGATGGCTTTTATTCTGAGCGTGAGGAGATATTTATTTTCTGGATTATTAATAACTACCGTATATTCTGGAGTACTAGACGACTTTTTAGGGATGTAAAACCTTATAAAACTTTGGGGGTCATCTAGTACGCCGGGTATAAAATTAAAATAATAATAAAATTACAGTATATTCTGGTGTATAAGACTACTTTTTAACCCAAGAAAATCTTCTCAAAAGTCAGGGGTCGTCTTATATGCAGGTGTAGTCTTATGCATGGGAGTCATCTTAACTCTATATTTTAACTGGAAAAGTTGGGGGTCGTCTTATACGCCCAGTCGTCTTATATTCCGGAATATACGGTACATACTATGGCTGCCTTGGCCTCGGGCTCTCTTCCGCCTTGGCTCATGGAGGGCTCCCGGGCAGGCTCCCCGTCCTTCCTCCCTTCCTGGCTGCCTTCCTTGCTCAGGCCCAGGCCTCTCCTTTGTTGATGGCCGGGCCCCTGGGCTGCTTCCCGCGCTGCTCAGGCCACTCTCCTTTTTGTCTAGGCCTTGCGAGAAGCGCCTCTTCTCCCACGAGACAACGTTGCCAAGAAGAAGGAGAGCGGCCTGAAGAGCGCTGGAGCCCCTTCTGATCAGGCCACTCTCCTTCTTCCTGTCCAGGCCCCGCGAGAAGCGCCTGGTTCGGGGAGTTGTCTTAAACGGCGAGTATATCCCCAACTCTCTATTTTGTTTGTTAAAGTTGGGGGGGGGGTCGTCTTATAGCCTCAGTCGTGCTGTACCCCAGAATATACAGTATTAAGTACTTTTTTTCCATGTCAGGAGCGACTTGAGAAACTGCAAGTCACTTCTGGTGTGAGAGAATTGGCCGTCTGCAAGGACATTGCCCAGGGGACATTTTGATGTTTTGATGGGAGGCTTCTCTCATGTTTCCTCATGGGGAGCTGGAGCTGACAGGGGGTGCTCATCCACGCTCTTCCTGGATTCAAACCTATGACCTGTCGGTCTTCAACCCTATCGGCACAAGGGTTTAACCCATTGCACCACCGGGACCTCCTTATACAGTGCTGAGAAGCAGCAATAATAATAAGGTTAATGGGAGGGTTTCATATGGAGCTGCAGTAGCATCAAAAGATTTGTCCAACACATACACACTAAAGCTGTGTAATTCTATTTTCACCAGTAATTCTTTTTTCCCCCAATTTCTTTTCCCGCTTCATTTTCTCAACCTCTAATGTGCTGCAAGATTTCTTTGCAAGCAAATGTAAGACTTTTGAATGCACTGAATCCAAAGCCATCTCTGTCTCCCCAAAACACCCCTTTTCAGAGCCTATATGCATCCATCCAAAACATTTTCCTGGGCAGAACTGCTACTTGGAGTTTTTGTGGCCTTAAAGGTACACATCCATCCATCCACTGGCAGGGACTCTCTTGATTGGCAGGGGGTGTCTCTGCCCATCTTAGACAAGAGAGAATTACACTTGCAATCGAACTATTTTAATCGCAAAGGCAAAGTGTCTCTCAAATCCAATCAAAATTAAGACAGTGTATTGTCGAAAGCTTTCATGGCTGGAATCACTAGGTTCTTGTGGGTTTTTTCGGGCTATATGGCCATGTTCTAGAGGCATTTTCTCCTGACGTTTCACCTGTATCTAATTAAGACAGTTTTTAGGTACTGAGCACTGATAAAAGTACTTAGATGAATGAAACTGTATTTAAAATATTTTGCTATCTAAAAATATGTGCCATACACATACAGAGACACACAGATCTGTTGGAGGTTTAAAATATTTCACTTAAGGTTTCGAGGATTGCACGTGGCTTTGAGGATGTTCCACATTTTCTTCAGAAGCTATTTAGTAGCAGTCATTGCTGAATATTTCATGCTAGGCTTCCTGATTCTTAACAATTGCACATTTTGAAAATATGTTCGGCATAACATTGAAATAGAATATAGTTTTTAGTAAACAAATCTATATAAATTAAAATGTAATGTTTGTTTGTGGGATTAACATAACTCAAAAATCACTGGATGAATTGACACCAAATTTGGACACAAGACACCTCTCATGCTAATGAGTGACCGTATCACTGTCTACAAACCCACACACTCACTCCAGTCATCTGGAGAGGCCCTGCTCGTGATCCCGCCCGCGTCGCAAGCGCTCTTGGTGGGGACGCGAGACAGGGCCTTTTCTGTGGTGGCCCCCCGACTTTGGAACGCCCTCCCGAAAGATCTCAGACAAGCCCCTACATTGGCAGTCTTCAGAAAGAATTTGAAAACATGGCTGTTCCGATGTGCCTTTTCAGATTAGGAACCTCCAGCACCAAATCCTAGAAGCACTTTAGTAGAACCAAGATCACTGCACAATGCACTTATATTATAATCCTACATTCCTCCTGACACATCAGCACTTTTAACCCTGTACCCCTACTCTGGCCGGCCCAGTTTTAATAGTGTCTTGTTGTACTGTTACTGTTATTGTTTTTCCTGCTTAACTGTTTTTAATTTGCTTTAGGTATTGTATTGTTGTAGTGTGTTTTGGGGCTTCGGCCTGTGTAAGCCGCATCGAATCCCTCGGGAGATGCTAGCGGGGTACAAATAAAGTTATAATAATAATAATAATAATAATAATAATAATAATAATAATAATCGCTCATAAAAACACTGAAAAACACAACAGAAGCCAAAAATCCCCAAAAAATACATTGCAGCGCACTTGCAAAACCACACATATATACACAAACACACATACATACACACATGTATGCATACACATACACAAAATACATACACAGAAAGGAGGGAGGGAGGGAGGAGAGAAGGAAGGAAGGAGGGAAAGAAGGAGGGCAGGAGAGAAAGAAGGAAAGAAAGAAAGGTAGAGAAGGAAGGAGGGAGAGATGAAGAGGAAGAAGAGAAGGAAGGAAAGCGATCGGAAGAAGGAAAGAAAGGGTAGAGAAGGAGGGAGAAGGAGGGAGAGAAAGAGAAGGAGGGAGAGGGAGAGAAGGAGGGAAGGAGAGAAGAGAAAGAAAGAAGAAGAAAGAAAAAGAAAGAAAGAAAGAAAGAAGATAAGGAAGGAGAGAAAGAAGGAAAGAAAGATAGAGAAGGAAGGAAGGAGAGAAGGAGGGAGAGAAAGAGGGAAAGAAGGAGGGAAGGAGAGAAAGAAGGGTAGAGAAGGAAGGAAGGAGAGAAGGAGGGAGAGAAAGAAAGAGGGAAAGAAGAAGGGAAAGAAAGAGGGAAGGAGAGAAAGAAGGAAAGAAAGAAGGGTAGAGAAGGAAGGAAGGAGAGAAGGAGGGAGAGAATGAAATAAGTGAAAGGGGGAAGGAAGGAGAGAAGGAATGAAGGAGAGAAAGAGGGAGGGAAGGTTGGCCACAGTAACGCGTGGCGGGTACAGCTAGTCTGTAATAAATGTACCCATTTTCAAAGTGAAGATTTAAATTTTTTTTAATTATCCACCCCCCCCCCCCCCGGCAAAACGATTTTTATTTCAAATTAGCAGGGCCAGGAGTATAGCTTCAGTGCTTTTTTGTCTGATAGGAAAACAGAGAAATTGTATGATCTGCCTTAACCCATTTCCCACTTTTAGATGTTTACCATAGCAACATTGGATTGGCACAGGAAAATAGCTCGCATGCAAACAGTGGTGCATCAAAACACAATTGTGGCAATGGGTTTTTTTTAAAAGACAATAATAAAAATCGCTGTATGGTAGAAACATCTTTGGTGGCTTTTAATTAAAATGTACACTAAAACAAAATGGTATAGTATGTGGAAAGTTATGAAGGAGCTAGATATAACCAACAAGAGTAAAGAATATTAAGAATAGAAACCTACCCCTAAAACTCTTTGATGTTCAGATTTATTACCTGGAAGTAACCCATCTTCATTAAGGGGCAAGGCATTCTGTAGGACTGATACATCTATAGAAAACAGACAAAGAGCGAAATCAAAGCAAACAGCTAAACCTAGCTTTGGGGTAGGGTCCTACTATCCCCAACAGCAATTCAGGCAAATTGTTTCATAGAATGAAAGATGACATGACATTTTTAGTTATTATTATTTATGTTGATTTATACCCCACTTTTTCTCACCACAAGGAGACTTAAAGCAGCCATTTACTGTCTGTAAATGGAGAGTCCTTTGCACAATATGTTTTTCTTTCTCTAGCAGATTGAAAATAATAATAATAATAATAATAATAATAATAATAATAATCTTTATTTATACCCCGCCACCATCTCCCCATTGGGGACTCGGAGCGGCTTACATGGGGCCAAGCCCGGACAATATATAACAGTGGAATAAAACCAAAAACATAAACAACTTCAAAATTACATAAAAGAAAAAGAAAACAAACAAACAAAAAACATTCCAATAAACACAGTCACAATAACAGTGGGCGGGCCACATGTACAGGATAAAACAATTAAAAGACACCAAGGAGATAAAAATAGGAGCAGGTTATTTGCAGGGAGCTCATAAAAACAAGCAAAGTTGTGAAACTAAACTTCCCATTTGGAGGGCGTGTACTCCAGTGGCAGAAGCGTTGAGGAGAGCAATAGTATTAAATATAGCCTGTGTCCTCATAATTTACTAATAAATAAAACTTCTAGCACTTAATAAAACTTCTAGCATTTAATAAAAGTAAAGGTTTCCCCTGATGTTAAGTCTAGTCATGTCTGACTCGGGGTGGTGGTGGTCTTTCTATGCCAAAGAGCTGGCGTTGTCTGTAGACACCTCCAAGGTCATATAGCTGGCATGACTGCATGGAGCGCCATTACCTTCCCGCAGAAGTGATCCCTATTGATCTACTCACACTTTCATTTTTTCAAACTGCTAGTTTAGCAGAAGCTGGGGCTAACAGTGGGAGCTCACCCCACTCCCCAGATTCGAACTGCCAACATTTTGATCAGCAAGTTCAGCAGCTCAGCGGTTTAACCTGCTGCACCACCAGGAGGCCCTTTCTAGCATGTATTTATTCCCCCTCATATGTACAATAGGACCACCCTATCCACAGAATGCAGATACACAAATTTAAACAAATGCAAATTCAAAATATTTGGGAAAAAATAAAATGCAAGAGTTTCATAAAGTGAACATACTTATATGTCAGTGGTTCTCTGACATATAAGAGAACCCCAGATGTTTTGGCCCTTAACTCCCAGAAATCCTAACAACTGGTAAACTGGCTGGGACTTTTGGGAGTTGTAGGTCAAAAGATCTGGGGACCTGTAGGTTGAGAACCACTGTTATATATGTAGGGAGAACAAAGTACTGTATATACTCGAGTATAAGCCTAGTTTTTCAGCCCCCTTTTTAGGCTGAAAAAGCTCTCCTCAGCTTATACTTGAGTCAAGGTTATTTATTCTTTTACTCTGTTGTTGTTATTATTATTACATTTACAGTATTTTACCCTATTATTACTACATTTATTATTTTACTCTATTATTACTGTTTTTGTTGCATTTTCATTATTTCACTCTATTATTTTTATTATATTTATTATTTTAATAATAAGTACATTTATATTGTAGTAGGTTAGCATAATGGTTTAATAAGAGTTGGACAGTCTTATCTTAAATTACAGTTTTATGTAAATATTCAAAAACATTTAGCTTATTTATGCCTCAATTAATGTAATTTTATTGGTATCTATTTTTATTTTGAAATTGACTCATAGTGGATGCATTTCCCACCCTCGGCTTATACTTGAGTCAATACGTTTCCCCAGTTTTTTGTGATAAAATTAGGTGCCTCGGCTTATATTCAGGTCGGCTTATACTCGAGTATATACTGTAACTTGAATTGTCTGTCTCTCTTTCATTCACCTCCATAGCAAAAGCACTGCTGATACAGTTCAAAGCTCACCATGCAAACATAGTTCAACCAGGTAGCAGTGAAGAAGGATGCATTTCCTGGCCGCTAGATGTGCCTTCTCTTCCAACTCTGGAGAGACCATCTGGAGAGCCTTCAAGGAGCTTTTACAGGGATATGCCAACTGGCATTAGAGTTCCTCCTTGATCATTCCCAAGGCAGTAGTTGGGTGGGCTCCCTGGATATAATAATACTTTATTTTATGGATATGGAGGAAAATAGGTGCCCTGCAACTGGGGTTTTAACGCTGCCTCCATAACTACCCTATACCATAAAGTAATTGATCATTCATGTTTTTTGGTATCTGCATGAGATCCTTAAAGGTACTGAGGGCTCACTGTCATGCATAAAAATATATTTAGACTTATTAGCAACTACCCTAATCCCTGCAGAAAGAGAAACTCTTGTTTATTCTGTATTGTTGAAGGAAGCTCACAGGAGCTGATGGAAGCTGATATTAATAATCAAAATTCCAAGGGAGGGAATGCAGATGAGAATGGCACATTTACTGAACAAGGAATTAGGAGAGGAATATATATGGCTGCATGAGCAGCCTAGCCTCACCTGGAGGCAATTTGTCCCTCATCACTGTTTGAGTAGGCAAAGGCATTTGGGAACCTGTAATAGGTGTCCAATTAATGAATGTTTTATAAGCCTGTTTTCAGAGATGTCTGTTCTTTTAATGTGTAATTCTTTTTATTGCTACTTGTTGCAGCAAGCAACCAGGTGTACTTGTTTTGCATGTGCATCATCCATATTTTCATATTAATAACTGTTACGCCTTAAAGAAGATTTTGCATCTTTATTGCCATTCAGTATTACCGTATATTCTGGTGTATAAGACTACTTTTAACCCAAGAAAATCTTCTCAAAAGTGAGGGGTCGTCTTATACATGGGAGTAGTCTTATACGCGGGAGTCGTCTTACAAAGCGGGTGCTGAAACTTCCAATCGGATTGGAGAATCTGTGGTTGCCGCATATGGTTGGGGAAGCTCAAAAATGGTCATGGCTGTGTCCCTGCTGTATGCAGTGACTGTATGAAAAGCATTAAGGATGACGCTGTATAAGTACGGTAGAAGAAAATCCATTCATCAGGATTCGTGGACTTAATGCGGTCCTGATGGTGAGGTGAAGGGGTGCCTCACCGGGAAGGTGTAAGTGAAGGGCGGAGCAAGCTTCAGGTGTCCGGGGCGCCCGAGGTATGGAAAAAAAGAGATACAGTGGCTCTGGGCCCAGACAAACACACCTCTTTTACCTGTCTGGCCCGCCCTTGTTAATCCTATTACCATACCTTCTTCTCTGCCTCTCAGATGTCGCTCCTGAAGACTGCAGTGAAGTGGTGCAGGTGCGCATGTGCGAGATCTGAGAGGCAGAGAAGGAGGTACAGCAATAGGAAAATTGCCATATTGAAATCAAATCTGATGCTTTTTAAATTTTTATTTGGTGTGCGTTGGTAGTCTTATATGGCGAATATATTCCAAACTCTATATTTTAACTGGAAATGTTGGTGGTCGTCTTATGCGTCCAGTCGTCTTATATATGGTATGTGTGAAGAGTTCTTGTCTCTTTAGCATTCATCATTTTTCCAGGCTTATTAGGATATACATTAATAAGAAATCCCTAGTTGTCAAAACCCAATCTGAATGGATGTTCGAACCTAAACACACAGAGCAAGAGACAAGATTTTAGGTAGTATAGGGGAAACAATTAACAGTGCCAGAATTTTATGCACATTGTTTCTACTCCTGAGGAGAAAATGGCCAAGGAAGTATTATAAATAAATAAATTAGGTTATGACAATGTGTATTTGCTTTATCCCTTAGTGAAAAATTATTATTAGAGGGTCATGACATGGTTATTCGGGCAATTTGGCTATGTGCTTAGCAGCAAAGAATATGTGCTGCATATTACAGTCAGGTCTCTGAATCTGTGGATTCAATCATCCACTGTTGGAAAATATTCTTCCTCCCCCCTCCCCAAAAAAACTCTCAAAAGGAAACTTTGATTTTGCCATTTTATCACCTATTTTATTACATATCTATATAAATAAAAATGTAATGTTTGTTTGTGGGATTAACAGAACTCAAAAACCAGTGGGCGAATTGACACCAAATTTGAATACAAGACACCTAACAACCCAATGTATGTCCTTCACTCAATTTTTTTTTTGTCATTTGGGAGTTGTAGTTCTTGGGATTTATAGTTCACCTACAATCAAAGAGCATTCTGAACTCCACAAATGACAGAATTGGGGCAAATTCCCACACAGAACCCTCATGACCAACAGAAAACACTCTTCACCAGGGCAAGACAATCTAATCAAAGCCCTCCTGACAAAGAGCCATCCAGCCATAAATATAGATAGATATATATGTTTCACACACAGAGATATAATATCATAGATTTGAAAGGGACCCCTAAAGAAGGACAATGATATGTTGCATATTCCAGAGTAGGCAAACCAGGCACTCCACATCAACACTGACAAAGAAACAACAAGAAATACTGTTTACCCACAAGCATAAAGAAATTACATAGATTAGAAACCATTACTTTATTTTCCAGATCACCAGACTGGGCCACAGCAATGCGTGGCAGGGGACGGCTAGTTGTAAATAATGAGATGTGATCTGCATATTTTGATATCCACAGTGAGGTCCTCAAACTAAGTCTCAGCAGATACCAAGTGCCTACTGTATGCAGTCTTCCCATCTTTCCCATCCCCACAATATGGTCACTGCAAAATAAAAGTAATCATCAATAATAATTATTTATATAGCAATAATCAGTATGTATCTTTCTTACAGCAAGTGGTAGGGAAACTGACTACCTGGAGGAAGTTATACTGCATACTAAGAGGTGGCAAGCTCATTTGCTACTATACACCAGAAGAAATAGAAGCTAAAGTGGAGCCAGCTTTGACAGTTTCTGTCAACAAGGTAAAACATTACATCTGCTAGTAATCTGAAGTTAAATTTGGTGCTTTGGTGATATGTTTGTTATTTCAAATGGGATGCTTGAAATGCTATTTGTGAATTTGATGGAAGATTTCGCTCTGTGACAAAAATAGATGCTGAGAGCAATTTCACACTATTTATTTACCTTATTTATATCCCATGTTTCTGTACCCTGAGGAGGACTCAAGGCGACTACAGAACTACAGCTTTTTGACTGCGTGTTAACTACCATCCTCTGGAATCCTGCGGTTTGTAGTTTGGTGACACTACTGGCTGAGAATTCTAAATGCCCCTTCCTAAACTTTAAATCCCAGAATTCCATAGGATTGAGCCTTGAAAATTGGAAGTGGAATCATGGCACTATAATTATATAGTGTGAAAGAGTTCTTTGTTGTTGTATGCCTATAAATCCTTTCTGAACTATGGCAACCCAAGGCAAAATGTGTCATAGAGTTTTCTTGGTGTCACGTTGCCAGGGCTCTGCTTTATTTAGGTAGAGATGAACCAAACTCCCAGTTTTATCAAACAGTTTAATTAAAACAGCACTTAATTGCTGGCTGTTTTAATAGACCAAAACATAAAACATAAAGATAGCAAAAACAACTCCATAGTCAAAAGGGTCCAGTCCAGTGGTCAAATACCAAGAGTTCAATAAACAAAGTCCAGGGATCAAGAATCTATACCGTAGTCAAAAGCTAGTCCAAAGGTTCAAGGTTCCAGGGTTCCAAGATTACAGGAGACAGGTCAGGATACTGAAAATCCAACAGACCTGGGGGGGAAACCAGCATCATCCACCACCAAAATACAACAGATACTTTTCTCTCAAAGATCAGTCTCAAGGTTAGCTCCTTAAATCCAGTAACAGCCAGCTGCAACCCATCTCCTGCACACCTCTACCCCTAATTGCTTTCACCCATAAACTCCCACTTATAGATTACCAAACCCTCTAGAACTAATACTCACATTAACCCTTCCATCACCAACCACTATCAACTGCAGAACATATGACACTTGGCAAGAAGAGATTTACTATAGTCTGAAGTCTAGAGAATGTGAGATCACTTGTGAGTTCTATTGCCTAGAAGGATTCAAGCTTTGGTCTCCTGTGAAAGGGTTCGAAGGGGGATCTATTTTCTCATTGTTACATGTAACATACAACTTTATCAGATGGGGTAGTTTTTGGCAGCCAACACCAGTTCACCCTTTTGGGATGGAGCCCTGCCAGCTCCCTTCCCATGATGTAGAGCTACTTCCGGTGGGGCTCAGTCGCAAAGGGGATGGTGAACATGGGAGTTTTACCATGTTACATAGAGCTCAGCGTGGGGAACCCGGGCAATGCGGGGCGATGGGTTCCTCTCACCAGGGATCACCATGTAGTGTGGTGATTCAGACAGCCAGTGTGATGAGGTCCATAGTGGATTCTACACTCAAAAAAATTCTATGGATTTTCAAATTTGGAATGATTCAGAATCTAATAAAATTTAAATAATAAAAATTTAATGGTGGGAAAGGAAGTGAATAAAAATGATAGTGAAATTATTTTACCATAATAGCACAATGCCATTCTCCAAAATAGTCACAACATCCCTCATCCCCTGTCTCTACATTGATCATTTAATCTCTCATTTATATTTGTGTGTGACAATGTTCTGCAAAGTGTCTATCTAGACATATGCTTATGAAAAAAAGGGAAATATTGATGTCCAACAGTACATTGCAAAACATGTAAGCAGTCCATGATTTATAATAACGGAGTTCTTGAAAATATGGCTGAGCCATTAGTATGTCAAGACAACTGAGACAAAGAATGGGACTAGTTCTGATAAAATATTCCTGGCTTAACCATAGTTTGTCAAATTCTGAATGAACATCAGCCTGGCATTTTTCTCCTTGCCTCCTCCCCTACTATGCTGCATTTAGTGATTCAGTTCTTGCCTCCTTATAAAACAGTTTCAGAATTAGAAGTGAAATAGGAAAATGTGTACTGAAGATATCAGAAAGGAAACATCCAAGGCAATAGAAAGGGAGGGGTAGCATAAAGGCCTAGAACTCATTCTTCACTTAATACATCTTGCAATCTTAAAATCTAAATTGTAGATTGTTTGGAGTCAGTTTTGAGAAGATTGGACATTTAAAATAATTCTTGTAAGGTGTAACTCCCTTTAGCCCAGGTTTATCCAAAGGTAGTTGTCACGCAACAACATTCTGCCTCCTTAATACAATCAGTTGTTAGTGTGAGATTATTAAACTACTGCATCAGCCAGAGGCCATACCAGAAAACAAGAATGCGTGACACATAACAAATAACATGTTAAAATAAACAGGGCATAACCACAATCAAATCATGCCTGGTGGCAGAAATCATGACAATCAAACTAATGCTTCCTTCTCAGTTACTAGTACTTTAGCCTTTTTTTTTTTTTGACAGCTTGTGTTTCTGCTGCGGCTATCGCATGCACAAATTATTTATGTCCTTGCCACACCAAAAATATATTTGCTCTTTGACTAAAAGTTGTATCTATATGATTATCCCTCCATATTTGTAGTTTTGCCTTTTGTGGATTTGATTATTCACAGATTTGATTAAAATGTTCTCCCTAGGAATCCCTAGTTCCTCCAATGTAACTCCATGAATAAGTTCCTCTGGTCATGCTGGAGAATCTAGAGATTTCCAGAGAGAACAGCTCTCTAGGAATCTCTGGGTCCTCAAGTGCAGTTCTGTGGTCACCTTCCAGCTGATGTCAGCCATAGACCTGTGCTGGTAGACTTAGAAATTCCTTGAGCGATGTTCCTTCAGGTAAAAAAATAGCTATTCCTTTATTTGCGGTTTTTCATTTTCATGGGAATCCTGTACCAACTAACTGCGTCAAATGTGAAGACTTGACTCTATTTCCATTAAAGCAAGTGTGTAAACAACTAGTGATAATTGGGACCATGTTTGCTTGCGGTGGGATCTTATAAAGCTTCAGCCCTTTCCCTTCACCCACCCCCCATGTTTCGCAATTGCTGGAAGTGCTCCCTGTGATTTCTAAGGGCCAAAGAACCCAATTATATTATGGTTTTAGGGCTCCCAGAATTGATTTAGGCTTATAAGGGACCTTTTTTCAAGAACCCCAGAAGTTAGCTAGATGGCATGGTGTGATATATTTAGTTTAAAAACAAAAAAAAAAAACTTGGAAGGGAGCTGGGTCCTCAAGGGGCTCAAAAACAGCACAATCCCAAACCCATTGGCTGCCAGCAGTGTTTCTCAACCTGGGGGTCGGGACCCCTGGGGGGTGGGGTTGCAAGGGGGTGTCAGAGGGGTCACCAAAGACCATTGGAAAACACAGTCTTTTTTGTTTGTCATGACGGTTCTATATGTGAAGTTTGGCCCAATTTTATCATTGGTGTGGTTCAGAATGTTCTTTGATTATATGTGAACTATAAATCTGAACAACTACAACTCCCAAATGTCAAGGCCTATGTTCTCCAAACTCCACCACTGCTCACCTTTGGGCATATTGAGAATTCGTGCCAAGTTTGGTCCAGATCCATCATTGTTTGAATTCACAGTGCTCTCTTGATGTAGGTGAACGACTACTCCAAAACTCAAGGTCAATGCCCACCAAACCCTTCCAGTATTTTCCAGTCATGAGAATTCTGTGTGCCAAGATTGGTTCAATTCCATTGTTGGTGAAGTTCAGAATGCTCTTTGATTGTGGGTGAACTAGAAATCCCAGCAACTACAACTCCCAAATGACAAAATAAACCCCTCCCCCCAAACCCACCAGTATTCAAATTTGGGCGTGTTGGGTATTAGTGACAAATTTGGTCCAGTTAATGAAAATACATCCTACATATGAGATATTTGCATTACGACTCATAACAGTAGCAAATACAGTTATGAACTAGCAACGAAAATATTATGGTTGGGGGTCACCCCAACATGAGGAACTTTATTAAAGGGTCACGACATTAGGAAGGTTGAGAAACACTGTTGTAAGGTATTGTACAAATATAGTCAGACAACTGACATAGATTGTTTGGATACATGGTTAATAATAGAGGTAATAATAGGGTGTTTCAAAAAGATGGACCGATTTGAAATCACTCTCTCTCTGCAACCACAAACCACCCACAAATGAGACTCTTACCACTTGAAATAATGGGGCACAGAGTGTCAAATGATTACCACTAGGTGCCTTTCCCAGTGCACAAACAGCCCCTAGCCTTGGTCATCCACAATATGGTAATCCCACAACATCAGGCTGAATGAAATATTCTCCATTCGTGGGGTTATTTTTAGATTTGTTTCTGATTCAAAACGGTTAACATAACTTGACAACTCTTAAACCATTGGTAACGTTTTGTTTAATTGTAACATGTTGCCATCACACTGCTTTGAAATTGGGTCCATAGTTTTAAAACATTATGTATTCCTTCCCCTCCCATTGCGAAAATGACTTACACCACTGGCCCATTCACACAATTTCCAGTATCCAGACTGTCTTGGAATAGTGCTGGGAGATATTTTAGTGAAGCCACAGCCATGGAGCTGCCAGATAACCATAAGGAAGATTCGAGATGATCAACTTGCCAGAATGGAGATGGCAAGATCTGAGCTTCTGTATCATAAAGTTCTCTCTGAGATGATTGCAAGTTACGACATTGATACAGCACCGGCCCAGCGTACCTGTCCGAACGTATAGCATCACAGAATCAAAGAGTTGGAAGAGACCTCATGGGCCATCCAGTCCAACCCCCTGCCAAGAAGCAGGAATATTGCATTCAAATCACCCCTGACAGATGGCCATCCAGCCTCTGTTCAAAAGCTTCCAAAGAAGGAGCCTCCACCACACCAGTATCTTCTTCTACGTCCTGCCTAGGAATTTAAGATCTTCTGGAGGGGCCCTGCTCTCGGCCCCACCCTTGTCACAGATGAGATTGGCGGGGACAAGGGACAGGGCCTTCTCGGTGGTGGCCCCCCGCCTGTGGAATTCACT